CTTGGGAAATGGCCTTGGGGCTCTTGCTTAAACATGTGCTCTACATTAAAACATCCATTTCCTTACGAACAGGGGGGGCACGGCCTTCTGGAGTGCTCCAGGAATGAAGTTGGGAGAAGTCTACATGGGAGTTTCCGAAAATAGGGGGACCCTAATATAGTACCTTAAATAGTAGGATCCTTAGTATAAGGACCCCCAAATAAGGTACCCCCAATTTTCGGAAACTCCCAGATTGCTTTCCATGTTAGGGGTCGCTGCAGACGGATGTGCTCCTCGGAAAGGCCGCAGGATGAAGCTTCATGTGGAGAAACGGTTTAGGGTCTAGGGTTTAGGGTCTAGGGTTTAGGGTTTAGGGTTTGGGGTTTAGGGTTCCACCCAGTTGCAGGGCTGGGGGACTTCGGTGCTTCGGGGTTGTGGCACCAAAGCCCTGCAAACACGTCAGAACCTCATGATTCCCGAAAATATCCATCTAAGGCTTGTAGAACTTCGTCCCTGACTATTCCTGAACCCTAAATTCTTGAACCCCTACACGCCAAAAGCCTAACCCTTCATTCCTGCACGCTAAACCGCAAACCCCGAAGCCCAAAACCTTACTTGCCTCCTGCACCCTGCACCCCAAACCCCGAACCCTAAACCTGCATTCCTGCGCACTGCTACCTCAACCCCAAACCCTAAACCGTATAAAGCAAGGGCACATTCGTGTCCACCCGCACCGCTGTCGTCGATGCGAGCATCCACGCACACCCCGTCCGGGGCCTCTGGGGGGACTCTAGGGTTGCTTTGGGGTTTAAGGTTTAGGGTTTAGGGGTTTAGGGTTTAGGGGTTTAGGGTTTAGGGGTTTAGGGTTTAGGGTTTAGGGGTTTAGGGTTTAGGGGTTTAGGGTTTAGGGGTTTAGGGCTCTTTTCAGGATTTTGGGGCTTAGGGTTGAGGTGCAGGGTCCTCTTAAGGCTTAGGGCTTTTGGAGATGTGGGTTCCAGGGTTTTCGGGGCTTCTGGTGTTTAGTGTTTCTGGATCCCGGCCTTAAGGTAAAAGGTTTGGCTTCAAGGGTCTTAGAGGTTGGGGTTCAGAATCTTCAGCAGGATTTGACAGAGGGTTGCTGCCGATGTGGTGAGTCTTGGCAACAAGGTTGAGCGTTTAGTACAGGCCTCAATAACTCGACTAACTAGACTGGGGCCAGGGTGTTAGGACACAGACACTCTGTTCAGAACAGGGACTACGAAAGGTACGAAGTCTTCGGGCTTCTATGTTAGGGTTTAGGTTTCAGGGTTTAGGAATATTTAGGGTACCCCAAAAAAAAAGGAACCCTAATTCCGACAACCACCCCTATGCAAGTGCCAGACCGGCCCAGGAGAAGTCAGAGTGCCCATGACTTCCCAGAGAACCCATACCCCTCAATTAAGGAATATACCTTAAATAATAGGGGCCTTAATATTATGATATAAGGTATATATAGGGGATCTATAAGGGGATCTATAGTAGTAGGGTTCTATATCACAGGGGCTTTAATAGTTAGAATAGGGTTTTCTCTGCGTTCGCAGAGGTTTAACATCGCTCAACAAACGGGGGCTGATGCCGTATCACCTGATGCTTCAACCGCGCAAGCCTTCGTGATTTACGGTAGGGCTTCCAGCTCAGGGTTCTAGCTGCGACAACTTAAGATCTAGCTGCTAACTTTCTCTCGATACATATACCTGCTGTCCACATTTCGGCGGGGAGGGAGCCCTAAACCCTAAACCCTAAACCCTAAAGGTCGGCTCGGGCTGCAGAACGATTGAGGATTTGGGGTTCAGGGTTTGGGGTTTATAGGGTTTGCCACCAATCAGGGGCAGGACAGCTTAGGCCCGAAACCTCAGAGAAAACCCCAGACATCAAAAACCCTAACCCCCAAAGCCTAAAGCCTAAACCCCAAACCCTAAAGCCTAAACAGTAAACCCCAAAGCCTAAACCATAAAACAAATCCAACACCTCAGACAGCCAGAGATGCGCCTGAAGGTACCAAACACGGCCCGTGGTGTCAATCGCCCTGGGCTCGCGAAACCTCAACGACTCAGAGCGGGCGCTGGCACAGCTTTCCAGCTTCGGGGGATAGGCGCCTAGGGTTTAGGGTTTAGGGTTCATGAGTAAAATAGGGGTTTGAGATGGTGTCATAAAGTTATCTAAGGGATTCACGGGGCGTTACAGCGCAGAATGGGGCTAGCGGCTAGCCCCTAGCCCTCGAAACCCCACAACCCCAAACCCTTCTTTTGCGACTGGACTCAAGTCTAGCCAGTCTACGACCTACAATCGTCTTGACCGAGGCCGACATGCAGCACCGATACCCAAAGCTGCCCTTCGGAGGAGTCAAGCTGTGTGCTCATAACACCGCAAGACGCTGCACAGGAAGCAGCCAGGATTCCGATACGATCTCAAAGAAAAGCAGGATGTGGAACGAGGTATACAGCAAACGATGAAGAGGCATGCAAAAAGTAAGTATTACATCACAGACATCACGCGTGAGCATGAGCTGCACAGTGAAGAGCCTATACAACATGAGAAAATGGCTGAAGAACTTGCAAACATCCGAAGGCTCAAAGCGGTCCAAAGAAAACACACCCTAAACCCTTTTAAACCCTAAACCCTATTCCCTAAACCCCTAAACCCTAAACCCCAAACCCCTAAACCACCCTAAAACCCTAAACCCTAAACCCCCAAACCCCTAAACCCCTAAACCCTAAATCCTAAACCCAAAACCCCACAACCCCAGAAGCTTGAAGATTCCCTGCAAGGTTTCTTCCAGGGCGAGATATAGGAGTTTCCGAAAATGAAGGGTATCTATTTCGGGTTCCTTTTAAGGGTTCCTATAAGGGATCTGTAAAGGTTCCAGAAAGGATTAGGGGTACCTTATTCTGGGGTCCTTATTATAAGGATCCTGCTATTTGGGGTACTAAATTAGGGTCCCCTGTCTTCGAAAACTCCCATGAAGGAATTCTGCCGGCGAGGCGAACAGACACACGCCTACAAATCCCTCATCACTTGAAGTGGGGTACGTCGCTGTGTGAACTGTGGCACAACCCCAGAACCCTGAACCCAAACCCTGAAACCGATACCCTCCACACCCTAACCACAAGAAAGACTCCTGAAACCCTGGCTTCTACTATAACAGGGACTCTTAGGGGGGTAAGGGGAGGGGGGTAGGGGACCTTCCTTAAATAGTGGTAGAACTCTCGTCCAGACGGGCCCAGGAGCGTCTGTCGGATGTACGAACGCTGCCAGCAGCCGTGGAGCGACTGGGGGAGCCGCAACTTCTCCGGCGAAGCCAGCAGCGATGCCATTGCATTCCAGCGTAGCATAGTAATAGTAGTGATAGTAGTAGAAATAGTATTAAGCAATAGTCATAGTAGTGGTAGTAGTAGTGGTAGTGGTAGTAGTGGTAGTGGTAGTAGTAGTAGTAGTAGTAGTAGTAGTAGTAGTAGTAGTTGTAGTTGTAGTAGTAGTAGTAGTAGTAGTAGTAGTAGTAGTAGTAGTAGTAGTAGTAGTAGTAGTAGTAGTAGTAGTAGTAGTAGTAGTAGTAGTAGTAGTAGTAGTAGTAGTAGTAGTAGTAGTAGTAGTAGTAGTAGTGGTAGGAGTAGTAGTAGTAGTAGTAGTAGTAGTAGTAGTAGTAGTAGTAGTAGTAGTAGTAGTAGTAGTAGTAGTGGTAGTGGTACTGGTAGTAGTAGTAGTAGTAGTAGTAGTAGTAGTAGTAGTAGTAGTAGTAGTAGTAGTAGTAGTAGTAGTAGCAGTAGCAGTAGTAGTAGTAGTAGCAGAAGTAGCAGTAGCAGTAGCAGTAGCAGTAGCAGTAGCAGTAGTAGTAGTAGTAGTAGTAGTAGTAGTAGTAGTAGTAGTAGTAGTAGTAGAACAAAGGTGTGTTTACGGTCTTGTGGTTTTGGGTTTTGTGGGCTTTGAAGTCTTGAGCTTTCGGTGAGCTTCAGCGTTCGAGGGTTTCGGGGGCACTGCATGGGAAGTTCCTGGGACCGCTCTGGCGGACGTGCCGTGCCGCTATGTAAAAGTGGCACTAGCCCGGATCTGCACAGTGCTGAAGGGGCATCGCCTTTTGCACTTCGGTGCCTTGGCCTTGCTTTATATTATTTGCTTTATTACTCTATATACATATATATATATATATATACTATACGATTATTCGTATCACTATTGGTATGATTATTAGCATTAGCATAATTATTAGTATTTTTATTAACTCCATTGGCTTTTACACTAGTATTAACTTTGCCTGGTCCTTTTTCTGCCCTAGCCCTGTGCAACAAAGGCGGCATGTTCGCCTGAAGCATGGGGACAATCTACACGAGTCGCAGCTGAAGCTCGACGGAACATCAGGGTAAAAGGGTCCTTTAAGGGTTACTATAAGGGATGTATAAGAGTACTACAATATGTGGGCCTTGATAATTGGAATAGGGTTTTGGGTGTAGGGGTTTCGGGTTTAGGGTTCGGGGATTAGAACTTTTTTGAGTGCTCTTTTCCACCTGCCGAGCAGCTAGAATTCCTTTACCAGGAGGGATTAGAGTTTATAGTTCAGGGATGGGGTTTTGGAGTTCAAGAGTTTAAGGTCGAGGGTTTGAGGTTTCAGGGTTTAGAGCCTAAGTTTTGGGTTTTGGGTTTATATAGGCTTTGGTGGGGAGGGGTGCAGAATTCTGGAAGTGTCCAGCGAGCTTGCGGTTTGGCTTACAGGGCTTACAAATTGCAAGCTTTACGAGCTACCGTTCAGACTGTCAGCCTCGACGTGTTGTGGATCTCAGAATGCCACCCAACCCGTACCGAAACCCTGCTCCCCATGCAAATGCAAATCCTAAACCCTCAACTGCAAACCCTAAACTATAAACCCCATTCTGCTTGGTAGTAAGCAAGACCATCCCCTTGTGACACCTCCATAAACCCTAAACATCCCTAAACCCCATTCTGCTTGCTAACTTGTGCAAAATCCGACTTCGGAACCCGAAGGATCTTTGTTCTGCTTGCCGGCGAGTATCCTAAGGGTGGCGCCTTTCTTTTGGGCGACGCATCGGCCGGCGGCGGTGGGGGAGCGCCTCCTTCGATGCTGAAGGGATGGGGGGCTTCTTCAGGCGTCCTTGTAGGGATTTTACGGGCTTGGGTGTTTCAAGCTTTAGGTTTTGGGGCTTGGACCTTAGGATTTTGGTTGACCTCAGGATTTAGGGTTTGACAGTTTCGGAGTTTGGGGTTCTGTGTTAGGAAACCAGTGCGTGGCTCTTGGGAGCTGAAGGTGGAGGCTCTTACGCGTGGTAGGACTAGTAGCAGAAGAAGAAGTAGTAGTACTAGTATAGTACTAGTACTAGTAGTAGTAGTAGTAGTAGTAGTAGTAGTAGTAGTAGTAGTAGTAGTAGTAGTAGTAGTAGTAGTACTGGTATATTGCGCTGTAGCCGCAGCAGCAGTAGCAGTAGCAGCAGAAGTCGTAGTGAACCCACAGAAGCTGTGGTGATAAAACCAAAGCCCTAGAACCTTCGAGGTCGAGGAGAAGCAAGACCGGAACGAATCACTAAGGCTGCAAGCCTGCCAAATCCGGGGCCGCGTGCTGCTGTAGTGGGGCTGCAGGAACGGTGGTCCCCCTTGCGTGTCACAGCTTGTAGGGCTCACCGGCATGTCATGTGGGAGCTTAGGGGACCCTAATATAGCATCCTAAATAGTAGGATCTTTATTGCAAGGACCCCAAATAAGGTAGCCCTAATTTTCGGAAACTCTAAACCCTTTCTGGAACCCTTATAGATCCCTTATAGGAGCCCTTAAAAGGAACCCCTTATAGATTCCTTTAGAGGTAACCCTCATTTTCGGAAACTCCTACATCTCGCCCTGAAAGAAACCTTGCAGGGAATCCTCAAGCTTCTTTGTGTAGGGTTTGGGGGGTTGTGGGGTTTCGAGGGCTAGGGGCTACCTCATTTTCGGAAACTCCCCATGTAGAGTATGGTTTATATTACTAGTATCCCCATAATAAAACCCAATACATACACTCACCAAAATTGAAAAGGAGCCCTAGCTACACTCACCAAAATGGTAATATAAGCCCTACTTCATGTCGGGTTTGGAGTCAGGGGTCCAGGGCGCGGCGCTTGGGGCGGTTTGGGTTCTGGGACTCGCCGCTTCGCGGCTCAGGGGTTTAGGGTTTGGGGTTTGGGGTTTAGGGATTGGGCTTTAGGGTTTGGGGTTTGGGGTTTAGGGTTTGGGGTTTGGGGTTTAGGGTTTTAGGGACTAGGGTTTAGGGTTTAGGGAGGGGGAGTACAGGGTTGAGTGCTCGGGAAAGACATTAGGTAAGGCAGGGGCCTAAGTACTCATAATAGCCTTGCAGTACATATCCGTGCAATCACAGTTCGAGTATAAAGGTGGTAGTACTACGAGTTATCCAGACCTTCTTGTAACCCTTAAATTGAAAACAACTTGTTCATAGTAACCCTCATTACTTATATGCGTTTGATCACCCTGAGTTTGCATTTTCCGTTCATTTGTAGTTCCCCGTATTGTAACCGCATACAGCTCAACCCCACAAGAAACCAAATCCTGGAACCCAAATCTTTGGTTTAGGGTTTAGGGTTGGGGTTTGTTGAAAGGTTAAAGCAAAACCCCTGCACCATTAAACCGGCATGGGCCCGGGCGGCTGTTGCTGCTGCAGCCAGAGCGGTTTGGCCTGGGCATGGAACGCTTATGAAGTCTAGGTGCTCGAACAAAAGCAGCCCGAGTTTCGTCGTTGGGACTGAGGGCCTAGGCTTCGTAAGCAAAACCCCAGGACCGCTTTGGGGTGATGAGTTTGACGTTGCATGTTCAGGAAATCTTGAACGAAACAGCACCTGAAACCCAATCCCCAAAGCCTTACCCCTCCATGCCAGACCCTAGTGTCTGTAACTGAGTATTCGCATCCCCGAATGCCTCAAAACGTGTGTGTATAAATAAACAAACACTATATATATATATATATATATATATATATATATATATTTGTATGTATATATATATATATATATATATATATATGTGTGTGTGTGTGTATGTATGAAACTTCTGCAAGCACCCGACAAACACCTATAATCTTTGTATACAGCCCTTACATGCACACCCTCGAAACCCCTCAAACACAAAGGCCCAAAACCCCCAAACCCCAACATCCAAAACCCTGAAACAGAAAAGAATGGAATGTTAAACCCTTAAACCCCCAAAAACCCACCCAAAGGCCCAAACCCCTAAACCCCTGCACATAAAAGCTGTCGACACGGCCTAAACTCTAAACCCCAAACATCCCCCTTCGACTCAAAAAAAACCTCCTTCACCGAAGCTTCAGCCGCCTCAACCCTAAACCCCTAAAATCCTAAACCCTAAACCCTAATCCCTCAAACCTCAATCCCAAAAATGCTAGAAATCCTACACCCCAAACCCTCGAAATCCTTTTAAGCCCTAGAAATCCCTTAACTCAATTTCCCTCCTTCACTATAGATCCCTACTATGGCAACCGAGCACTACCCTCCTTAACCGAAGCTTTGGCTCCTCTGCTGCTCCCTAGAAGTCTCTTTAAACCACCCTCGAAAAACCTTAGACCCCTAAACAACTTAGAATCCTAAACCCCTGAACCTCTAAACCCAGATGTCCCGAAAAATGCAGAAGTCTCTAAACCCCAGAAGTCCATAAAAAAAAAAAGTATCGAAAGGCCTTTAACCGTAGAAGTCCCTAAATGAAGCCCTTAAGAGATCCTCCTATAAAGGTTCCCTTAAGGATTCCTTGAAGGGCTCCTTTCCCGTGCGGATTCCTTTAAGGGCTCCTTTAAGGATTCCTTCAAGGGGGGTGTAGGATTCCTTCAAGGGCCTTTTCCTTTAGAGGGAACTCCAGAAAGTTGGAATATGAATTCATGGTAGGATACCCTCATAATTTACCTTAAACGGATTAGGATAATGATATTCCAACTTTCTGGCTTCTGCTTTAGGGGCTCCTCGGCTGCGAGCTGAGGGGCTCCCAGGGGCGCCGCCTTCTTCTGCGGGCTCGGGAGCGGAGGCGGATCTGGGCTTTCGAAGGTTTAGGGTTTAAGGTTTAGGGTTTAGGGTTTAGGGTTTAGTGGTTTAAGGTTTAGGGTTTAGGGTTTAGGGGTTTAGGGGTTTACGGTTTAGGGTTTAGGGGTTTAGGGGTTTAAGGTGTGGGGTATAGGGTGTAGGGTGTAGGGTTTAGGGCCGAGCCCCATTTAAAGGGGATGCTGTAAAGAGTAGTATAGGTCCCCGTTAAAGGGGATGGGCCGGGGCCTTTACGGACCCCCCTTGAAGTATACGAGATGGTGCTATGATAGGGTTCCTTTTAAAGGGCTTTTAGAAAGGCTCCCCTCTAAAGGGGATGCTACACGGGGCCTTGCAAGGAAAATGGAGGGGTTTAGGGTCTAGGGGGTTCCCTTTAAAGGGGACTATAGGGTTCTATAAGAAAGGGTACCCTTCAAGGGCTCCCTTTTTAAGGACCTCTTTAAAGGATTTTTGTTGGGATTCCTTTAAGGGTACCGGCAGCAAAGTTTGCAGGGGTTTTCTCAGGCGTCGGACGTCGGATTGAAGGTGTCGGGTTCAGGGTTTAGGGTTTGTTTTTAGGGCTTAGGGTTCAGGGTTTAGGGCTTGGGTTTAGAGCTTTGGGTTTAGGGTTTAGAGTTTGGGGTTTAGGGCTGCAAGGTTGCTATGCTGGATGCTACGAGTGTAAGGGCTACTACGAGGCATACTCCAGGTTACTACGGTTGATGATAGAAATCCTGCATTACCTTAAGAGCCCTAAACTATGGGAATTATGGTATATTCCTTATTATGGGTCATGCAGGATTTATATCATCAACCGTAGAAGGGTCGACCTGCACCCTTCAACGCACCACGAGAGCGGCCTCGATGTCCGAGTCCAAGTAAACCTTGCAGCTTTCCTTGTCTCAACCTTACTTGGAGGATCATGGGACTTAGTAAATAAGGCTATAAGTGCCTTAATTGGGGTTATAAAGCATAGTTACCCTAATTATAACCCTAGTTACTAAGTCCCAGGATCCTTTAAGTATAATCGCCCCGAACCCACAGTCTTCTGCTTTAAACCTTCAACCCTGAGCCAATGAACCCTGAACCCTAAGACCCTTGGCTGCAAAGCCCAGAAGTGAAGGGAACTGAAGGTGAGTCTTTCAAACTCTGAAATCCAGTCTACCTTAACCTGGGTGGTCCTGATAAGAAGGAACCTTGTATATATAAGCCCTGAACTCTAACCCCTGAACCCGACAACCCTGAACCCTAAAGCCCTAAACGCTAAACCGAAACCCGAAACCCTGAACCCTAAACCCTGATCCCTCTCTGAAACTCCCTTTGATCCGATTTCACAGGCTCGCCTTGCGGGGCGCCCTCGGGTGGCGTCTTCGGAACTGCGAGATGCGACTCGTTTCCTCGATGCTCAGGGGGATTTTCTTTTTGGGGCGTCGTAGGGGTTCAGGGGTTCAGGGGTTCAGGGTCTAGGGTTTGGGGTTTGGGGCTTAGGGGTGCAGGGCTTGGGGTTCAGGAGCAAGGGCTTTCAAAGGTTTAGGTTTTATTTAAGTGTAGGGCAGAAAAGTGTAAGATTTAGGCTTTCAACTGAGGATTATGATGCAGAACTGAGGGTCTAGGGCCTCATGAATTGCGTGCAACTAAGCACCTGCATGTAAGGCTCTCTAGTGGGATCTTGTCATCCAGAAGCTGATGTCTCGAAAATCGCCATGACAACACCACATGGGTCTAGCAAACAGGCAAGAGGTACCTCAGGAGAATGTGGGCTCCATCCAGTTGGTTCAGAGTGTTCCGAGACTCTTCTATGAACATCTTGAGTAAGTTTGAGATTTGAACCACTAGAACATCACTCAGAGCCCAGCAGGCACAACTTCCGGGTCTGTTGGGGGCTTGCGGAGTTGGGGCAAAAGACACAACACGTTGCTTGAAGCACTCGAGGATTCCAACTCACTAAAGCCTTCGGCTGGGGCACACAATTTTTCGGGTCGAGGGAAAAGCTTGAGGTTTGGGGCTTGGAGGAGCCGACCCCAACATACAAAAGCCACCAAGGACCTTGCGCAGGTCAGGAAATCCAAAGCTTCTCATCGGCTTTGGCATACTGAGGCTTACGTTCTCTAGAGGTGCCGAGTTCGGAGTTTGCAAGAAGGCTGAAAAGCCTTCAAACCGAAATCCAAAGCCCGACAGGGTTTCTTTGGGCCGTCCCAGCCTGCTTGAACAGTCCTGGCTGCCTGTGCCTGCGGAAGCCCGGGTGGCAGTGACTCAGGTCCTGAGGCAGATTGCACAAAGGCTCAGTTCTCCGGATTTTGAATTTAGGGAGGTAGGTTTTGGCTGTGAAGCTTGCTGATGTCGGGACAAGTGGTGTAGGCTTCATAGGTTTTGACTGGTGGGTGTAAGGCGTGGCCCCGCTCCAGTCTGCGTGAACAAACTCCACGAGGGAGCTCCATCAAAAAAACTACTAACACGGTGGCATCAGGAGCCCCAGCTGTAGGAGTAGTAGTACCAGTAGTGGCGGTAGCAGCAGCAGCAGCAGTGGTGGTGGTAGTAGTCGTAGGAGTAGTAGTAGTAGTAGTAGTAGTAGTAGTAGTAGTAGTAGTAGTAGTAGTAGTAGTAGTAGTAGTAGCAGCAGCAGCAGCAGGAGTAGTAGTAGTAGTAGTAGTAGTAGTAGTAGTAGTAGTAGTAGTAGTAGTAGTAGTAGTAGTAGTTAGTAGTAAGCACTGGGACTCTCAGAAGCAGCGACGTTTGTATTAGGGGGTAACCATCGCAAGAAGAAGAGGAAGAAGATGGAAAAAAAGGAGAAGCATGATTCGATCTCATCTCTAGGGGAACTCTCGGCTTGGACTTCAGCTTCTGTACCTGTCATTCAAGCTCAGGGCCTGGGGCGTAGGCTTGAGGGACTCAAGTTTCAAAATCCCAAGCCGGAAGCACCACAGATCTGAAGTGCAACAATAGGGTTTAAGGGTCTAGGGTTTAGGGCCTCTGGGGTCTCTAGGGAAAGAACGGAGAGCGGTGCGAGCAACCTAGACTCTAGGCCAAAGCCCCAAAAGCCTACAGCGCAGCCCTGAAGCAAGATGCAATCCCGGACACTCTCGGAAAATGGAAGTCTCACAAACACAGAGGTCCCTATTCAAGAGACAGTTAGGATGATGATCATATTCATGCCAATGGCACTGACACCCATTAAGACGACTGTGGCTTTGGATCACTTTGATTACAATCTGACCACGATAGTGATGATGATGGTGATGATGATAATTATCATGATACCGTGACGCTGAAGGCCGTGCAGGGAAATGGCGACGGCCTGCTTGGGAACTTGGAACTTCTAGGCATTCGCCGCCTGCAAGGAGGCGAGTTCAGGGACACTGCATGGAGATTGCACTTCTGCACCGAATCGCACACCTGAACTTCTAGGGCCTGGGGGTCCGGTGCAGTTCGATACAGGCTGTGACCCTTGCAACTCGAGGTAAAAAGTATGGGCCCTGATGTTTGAAAGCAGTATCCCCCTCCTCCTCCGAGGAAGCAGACAGAAAGACTCTAAGATTTTGATCTGTGGGCAGACTTCCGCGCAAACCTGTTACTGCGAGATTCAGTGTTTAGGATTTAGGGTTCAGGGTTTAGGATTTAGGGTTTAGGGTTTAGGGTTGAGGGTTCGGGGAAACTTGGACGCAAGATTGGCTCGAAGCCTCCAACTCGGATGGCTGAGGCGCGAATCTCCGGATTGCGGGATTTAGGGTTTAGGGTTTTCAAGGTCGCAGCCCCAGAAACTGTCCGCGCAATGATCTCTTGATGCAAAGATTGATGCGAGAATCCTGCATGGCTTACTCCATGGCGAATCCGACGGTCTTCGGACCTGACCTGCAAGCCCAGAGACTCCATTCTCCCTTAATTAAGGAATATACTTTAAATTATAGTAGGATCCCTAATATGATTTAAGGTATATTCCTTGATTAAGGGATATTGGAGTCTCTGGGAGCCTGAGGGGTTGCAGGGGTTTAGGGCTTTACAGTTTAGGGTTCAAACTCCAGGTATGTTATCCGGTGAGAAAACATCGTCATCTGCTCCATGCTGATTTCACGGGGACACATAGCAGAACCTCCTATGAATACTCTGGAACTGTCCAAAGAAAAGGCATCAAGCAAGCATGAGAAAGCCAGAATTCCTAGTGCCTGAACGAGCCTTTCTAAAAATCACGGCAACCCTGACAACGCAGGGGCCCTAGTTTAGCAACTAGAGTTTAGGGTTTAGGGTTTAGGGGTTTCGGATTGAGGGTTTAGGGTTGGCTTGTTGAACTCTTGATATGACTTGGCAACCTGAGGCCCAGCACTGCCAATCAACCTGGCTTCTATATTACAGTCCTTTCGCAATACGATCCGAAGACTAAGCACCCCTTTACAAACAGATAAGGACGGCTTAGGGCTTAGGGCTTAGGGTTTCGAGCTTAGGGTTCAGAATTGCCCGTAGTTTGAAACAATCGCCGCAGTCCAAGAGAGACCCAAAGGTTCCATGGAAAAAAGCTGCCCTGAACGAGAGACCCAGGGTCCTGAAACCGAAAATCCTAAACCCAAAACCCTGGCCCTAAACCCTCAACCCTAAAACCCTAAACCCTAAACCCTAAACCCTAAAACCCTAAACCCTAAACCCTAAAACCCTAAAACCCTAAACCCTAAAACCCTAAACCCTGAACCCCAAAGCCCCCCGTTTAGCAAAGAGATCTTCGAGCTATATTCCTTAATTTAAGGGGTATTGGGCTCTCTCTGGGTACAAGCCTTCAATCCGTGCGTACACCAAAACCCCAAACAAAGTAATATAGGGGCCTCAACATTTAGAATCGGATTTTGCGGTATCATATACTATGGCTATAATGAGGAACCCCCACAAAAGTATAGGTAATTCTTAAGGCCGCTAGAGCAGATCTCGCAGCCTGGTGCTTGAAGGATCTTCGGATTCGGATCCTGCAGGCCCTTCCTCGGTTCAAAGCTTAGGGCTTGGGGCTTACCCAAAACCTCCGAAAAAACTACGAAAGTTCGAAGCCTCTTGGCAATACGGGCTGAGGGTTTAGGATGGATTTCGGGGTGTTGTTAAGAGATTTTGGTCTAGGTTCAGGGGTTTAAGCCCGCTTAGGCTTTGGAGGTTTAGGGTTCAGCCTATCGGCCTATCTCTTACAGGCTCAACCCCGTCCTTCACTCTTGATTTAAAGGGATTCTTTAGGGTTCCTTTAAGGGATTTATAAGGGTTCTAAAAAGGGTTTCGGGTCTAGGGCTTTGCGACTTCCGAAAGTTAGTGGTCTCGGATTCAGGCTTACACGGTTGAGTGTTTGCAGATTTCGGCCGCAAGCAAGGACAGAAAGATCCCCAACAACCCTGAGCCCGAAACCCCCAAACACCATGTCCTCGTTTCACAGACCATTTCATTTTTTTTCATTCGTAGCGATGGAGTCTATCAAAGACGCACGCCTAGCACAGCTAAATTCGGGTGAAACGAGGAGAGTCATGGGGAGTGCATACCGGAGTCATCACAGATGAAGCCTAAGGCCTCAGCCCACTTCCTGAGCACTGGTAGCGGACGCCACAGGCTGTGGCACAAGAGCGAAACCGGCTTCTCCCTCGCAGACTGAGCACACTCAGCCAGGACTTTGCAGGCATCTTCAGTCCATCGCAGAAGTCCGGAAGCATCTGCAAGCCGTACGCTGCTGGGCCCGGTAATGTCAAAACACAGCTCTGGAGGAGGCTCAAGTGAACGTGTCAAACGATCCCCACTGGATACAAAGCACATTCCCTCTAGGTCACCCCAGGCAGGTAAATCGTACGTCTTTCCTTTTGGGAGAGCGCCCTCCGCCGGAAAGACATCCGCAGTCACCATAGGGTCTAGGAGCAGAAGGATATTCTCAGAGGCCTCTTGCTTCCAAGGGCAGCCCAGAGTTTCGTCCTTCCACAAGGAAACTGTCGCTCGCAAAACACTCAGGGGTTCGACATGTTCCTGAACACACTCCCACAGCTGAGCTTCATCAACAGGGATCCCGTCAGCAAAAGCACGAAGATCACGTAGCAAAGCCTCTGAAACATTCAGCTCTGGCACATCAGAAGGGGGACGTATCACGGAGCCCTGGACTCGGAAAGGAGGCGCCTGTGGATGTATGTCTCCTTTGGGCACTTCGCCAGGGGCATAGCAACCCCAGTTCGTAAGGCATGCGGGCACACTGGTGAGATGGCGTCGCAACCTGCCAACACTGGCGAAATGTGTACCGCAAGCCAAGCACACACGTCCTGCAGCAACCAAGTAGGGCTTGGATCTGTAACCATGAAGTCGAGCAGCATGACCAGCCCAAGCAACCCGGGTGCGAAAGGCTCGTCGACAGATCAGGCACAGATCGGAAAAGGCACCGCCACCAATCTCATCGCGGTGGGCTCGCTTCACACCAGCGACCGAGCTCAATCCTCTGAACAGCCCGTCCAGGGCAGCCACAAGGGAGAGGCGCACAAGCTCAAGTGCGCATGCTCTTTTGACTGCTCCTTTGTAAAGACGCGCGCGATTGCGCATCAGGTCAACCCAATTCTCCCAGCACTGCCTCGGATGACCAACCGGCACAGTAGTCTGCGTCCATGCAAACAACCAAGCTAAATCCTGCCACATGAGCTCCGCATAAGGCCGATCAGCACGTATTACAGCCCATAACTCAAGTGGCGCAGAAACGACAAGCTGCCGAAGATACAGCAGACGCGCCCGGCGCAGGAGCGCCTGCGGGGGCAAAAGCCCAGTCAGGGCACAGCATGTGACGCCGGAAACATTCTGCTCTTCACCGCGAGGAATGCACAGCAGGGAGCGACTGAATGTCCACACGGCCGTATCAAGCATCTGCTGCTCACGTTTGTTTAGGGGTGGCCAGGAGCCGGCACCCTGGAGCAGCTTGGCAAAAACCGTGGCATTCATAAGGTTCGCTTTCCGTCTCACGCAGATAGCTCGGCTTCGGTAAAGTTTGCGTCTGCCTTCCTGGAACGCGCCGTGCGCCTGAGAGATGCGGAATCGGAGCTCGGGTTCCATGGCCCCGAAGGGTGCCTGCATGACTCCTAAGTGTCGATACGACGCAACGAGGGGAATGCGCACTCCGGGGCCATGCTCACGCAAAAGAGGCACTGCTCCAGCACACTGATCGTGAGCAAACAAACGCCGGCGAACATCCCTTGAGCCCGCGCCCTTGACGGAGACAACCCCAGCTGTCTTGCCGGCGCCAAAGGTCAAACGCATCCCGAATTCTCCGAGCGAATCAGTCAGGATGCCCGTCTCACATGCAATTGCTGTTTGCAGTTGCCTCGGACTGCTACACAGTCTAGGTATGGCAAGATCATCTGCCCAGACTATGTCGGCAAGCCTGATCGTGCCGCTGTCGGCGGGGCACTCAGTCAGATGAATGACACCGTCCCATGGCAAAGAAGGAGCACAGCTAAAATCCTCCGTCGGGCCCCGTACAGTATCTCGAACCCTCAAGACTCTCGGCACCAACAATGCGAACACCACGTCAGCAAAAGAGGAGCCGGGACGTGTTCCTCTCGCCGTAATGACAGGCGTATGGTCGCCTTTGATGACGAACCAGTTGTTGCATGCCATGCGATCAGTGATGGCATCTGTCCAAGGGTCCGCAGCAAGATGCTGCATCGCAGTAGGCTCCAATAAGTGCTGTCGAAGGTCTGCAACTGCACTCGCATCAAGCTGAAGATGTGAGGTGAGTCTAGAGATCAGGGCCTCATCAGGAACATTTCCTGAATTTGCGACTAGCTGTGTGACGACCCCATAGAAGGCAGATACAATGTCAGCGAAGATCACAAAGGTGGTCAAGTTGCGGGCAGCAGCCCAACGTTGCACACCCCGGACAGCATGCGCCCCGAAGACGACGGTGCATCCTTGCTTGCCTCCTATCTGAAAAGTGGGTGCACTGGCTTCAAACAGCGACTTGACAGGGGCGCGAAGGCTCTTGTGACACGCCTTTGCAAACGCATTGAGCAAGAGCACAGCCCTGTACGACGCGCATTCCTGGACGGGTCCCTTATTCTTGTAAAAGAAAACAGTCTGACCGCCCTTCCACCCTACTGCCTCGCTGCCTCTCAGGGCATGCTTCAGCAACAAAGGGAACAAGAACTCAGCAACTCCAACAGGGAACATTTTGCACAACTCCGGTGGAATTCGGTCCAAGCCCGGCGCTTTGGCGCCCTTTGTGGCCGCAAGCACACATTGCAAGGTCTCGAGAGTAGGCACAGCAGCAATGTCCTCAGGGAGAGGCCAAGGTCGGACACGGGAGTCTGCACCGCCCGGAATAGTCTGCTCTACCAAGTCTGAAAAGGAGGCTTCCAAACCAGCTTCCAAGTCTCCAAAGTGCTGCCTCCATCGATCCTGGGAGGCTTCCGTGGTAACACAGGGTTTGCCGTCCAGCCCCTTGATGACTGGCAAGGGCTCAATCTGGTACGGCTTTTTGCGTTTGTGCGCCAACACCTTGTGGTATGCAGCAAAAACTTCATTAGCAGGCCCATTGCTGATTTGGTCAGCGAGTCCTGCCAAATACGCCTCCCTGTCGAGACGGCAAGCCCGTCGTATCGCCTGTCCATAAGCTGAAAGCTGCTGAGCATTGACTTGCATCAAGAGGCGCAATTGCTTCACAAAGGCATTGTCAAGAAATTCCTCAGCAAAGGTCAGGGGAGCCTCACGCCACACAAGAATCACTGCAGACAAGCACGCAAGCCGCAGACGGTGCTGGCGCGTATGCAATTCTCGTCTAATACGAGCAGCAGCCTGTTGCAGCTCGAAAGTGGCAGAGGTGATGTACGGATGCTTGGGCCGAGCGCCTTTATCAGTACACAAGGCCTCCAAACCCTCCTGAACATGTCGGGTTACAAGGGCTGCATGCGCGTGAGATGAAACATTCCAATCAACACGCGGAACAGAGGCAAGCACACGATGGATGGCCACCTGATTAGCAGGATCCGTGATGCAGCGAGCAGGAATCCTCGCCTTGACTCGCCCTTCAGTGGGCAGACGTTCACAGAAAGGAAACTGCACATCCACAACTGCGGCAACGTGGTCCTGGACCACATGTCCAGCGTGCACCTGCGGATCCGTCCAAGATGCGATCTGTCCCGTGGCCCAGGCCCAAGGGATCAACAGAAAATCAGGGCGGATGAGGCGGTGTGTCTTCTTCTGAGTGTAGGTATGAACGGCACCAGAGTGCACTGATTCGAAGGTGCTTGGCAACCAAAGCTCAAAGTCACGCGCAATCGAGCGAATCCAACTGCCGGCAGCATCTTCAGGTTCCGCTGCAAGGGGACCAATGTTACAATCAGTTTCACTTCCCAAGGCAGCATTCATGTCGCCTCCAATCAGAAGGGTGTCCCCTTGACGAGACCTCCGCAGGATCGCCGTAGTCTCGCACCACCAAGCATCAATGGTGGCATGTTCAGTGGCACGATGAGGCCCATGGAGAGCTGCAAGCACGAGCCTAAAACTTCCAATGGCGACTCTCAAAACAAGGCGGCGAGGGTCAGCGTGCAGAACTGAGACATTCTGCCCGCGCAGAGAATGCACAGGTGCAGCGTCATGATCAGTAACGGAGGCATACCCTTCTCTGAGCCAAATTTCAGTGCTCCATTGGCCTCGAACATCGCCAGAGACAAAGCGAGTGAAGGCTCCAGCCTGATAAGTGCCAGCAGGGCATCTCGACTCCTGTATGAAGGCGATCTGTACCCCCGCTGTGCCTAGTTGATCAGCGAGCAAGGCTGCTCGCCCAGGCTGCAAGTGCAAACCAATCTCAGAAGTACCACCTCCGGACTCCGGACTGCTTGTCCAGCAGGGACAAGACATTGAAGGTGAGAAGGCGGAGCTGCAACTGTTGCAACCTCGGTTGCGAGTCCGCCTCGCAGCTTGAATACGCAGCATCGTCCGGGAGGGTTACCTCAGAAGGAACGAAGGGCCGGATCAAGTCA